TCAAGGTTCTTTTAGGAATTTTGGACAGACTTGATAGTCTCTTATAAGAATCTCTTTTCACGGTTCTCAGCTTTATCAAATATGCTGTAAACCCAATAGGACCCGATGAATTTTGCGGTAATTGTGGCACTTCATCTAAAATCCTTTGCTCTTTCGTGAAGCCTAAGAGCGAAGCCACACGGTGCGGTGCGGTCGCGGCGCGGCGCCGGAGAGATGACGCTGCGGTAGCCTGCATATAAATATCAATTACATGCCAGACGGTGCATACCGGCGTCGCATCGCAGGCAAGCCGCAACAGGGTGCGGTGCGGTAGAAGCGCGGTGCCGGAGCGATGTCGCTGCGGCGTCCTGCATATAAAAATCAATGGTATGCCAGACGGTGCGTTCCGGCGTCGCGACTTCGCTCGCAGTCGTGTTGAAAGCAATTGTCAGTAGGACGTGTTTATTTTAATAGGGATTTGTAAAATGAGTACTCAGGACGATAATATTGATATTGGCTTTCTCATCTCATTAGTTCTGGAAAGAGAAATTTTATGGGACAAGTCTAATGTGGACTTCAAAAATAATAATTTGAAAACAAAAGCTTGGGAACAAATAGCAAGAACATTGTTTCTGGATTATGACACTTTTGACAATGAGAAAAAAAACAAATTGTGTTATTGTAAAAGTTTTAGTTTTTATTATTATAATATAACTATGATTTTTTATTTCGTGGACTAATAATAAACCTACCTACTATATATATAAAACCTATTTGAATAAGATGATATGTAAATGAAATTATACCGTGATTAGCCGTCGTAGCTCAGATGGTTAACGCTCGCTGGAATTATAACACAACGCGAGTAACCCGCATTCGATCCCCGCCGGCACAATTTCTGGATTGACATTACCGGAATACATAAAGTTGATTAATTTAGTGATCGAATTTACGAGTTGCTCACCTGCATCATCCACAGAATGCGATGTTAAGTCTTTCAAATGTTGGGGTGAGATTCCATCCAAACCTGCAGCCGAATCTGGTTTAAAAGTTAAAATGGCATCCGTAACATCTTTTTTTGAATTTGAAGGCATGCTTGCCATACTGTTGGTCGGTCGAGAAAATATGGGTTTACTGGAGCTGGAGGATGTTTTGTCCGTAAGGCCTGAAGGGTGTCAGGGGTATCTGGTGAAAACATCTCGTTGGAGAACAAAAGGCGAGCGCCACCTTTGATATCTCCGTCACAAATTTTGTTTTCGATGAGTTTGTTGCGATTAGGAGGGGCATCATGTTTGATTAGAGGTGCGGGAGAAGGTGAGGAGCTGACAGCACAGTTATTTTTAATCTTTTGTGTCAAGCATAAATTTGGTTTATCAGTTTTTGTTATATGTAGGGTGCTGTATGAAATTAGAAATAGGTTCTGCCAGTCTTGAGTACAATTGCTTATGTAACATTTCTGGATTAATTGTGACAAATGTGTAGCAACGGTTATTCGAGCTCCTGGAGGGATTCTTTTAACTGTCGGTATACTATTTTTCAAATGGCTAAGATTCACGGCTCAGCTTTGTACTGGTGATTTATGGATCTCGACAACAGTGCCATCTACCGGGTCCAAATGTAAATATAAACCATCTAGGGATCCATCCAAACACACAAACATTTTCATTGAAATTGGTTGGATGGTTTCTTATGTTTTGTATATTACGGACATAGGTAGAAACATTTTAGTGTTAGATATATTTCTGAAGGTTTTTTGAAAATAACTTGATGGTAACATGTACATTTATGATGTTGTATTCAATATTCATACACTTTTTGTCTCTGCAAGCTTTCAGCCTGCAAGGAATACAGATTTGTTCTAAGCGATCCACTTGAAAAGAAGTTAATGATAATTGTAAAGGTGTCTTAACTAAATAATAATTCTTATCAATATATTATTTTTTCTATATTATATAGGAATTAAAAGGACATTTTTAACAATAAGAGATATGAGATAAGACTATACCTTCAATGTCAATAAACTGTATTTACATATTTCTGTGAGCATTTTCTTATATCTTCCTTTTCATATGTTAAATAGTAAATAAATTATTATAAATTATACAGCATTAATCAGCTCCAGCTGCAGCAGTAATTATTGATTAACATCAATGATATTCAACTATGTAAAAGTTGTCTCACATTTTATTTTCACTGGTTTCATGTACATAGGAAACAAAGATATTATTGTTATATTAAGTATATCTGATACTAGACGACAAAATAATATTCCTTTCTGCAGAGTGAACAACACAGCTGTCTAAGCATAATAGATACAACCGTTACACTTTTTATATGCAAACTATTATTATTAAACTTTATATTTGCCTCTAGTACAAATAATTACTACATTTTTTACACATACATATATGTACCATTTATATTGCCTATCTACTATGGCTGGTATAAATCCAGGATCCGTGTCTGGCTAAACAAAAAAGCCATTTAGTATTAAGAAACTTGCTGAATACATAAAGAACCTATTTGTACACAAATGCAGTTATATGAATTGCTCTACAAAACCCTCTTTTAAGTCCCTCGACCCAAAGATTCTAATTTTCTTTTAACATTATAATAACTTCTTTTGTGCATTTATTCTATTTATTATTTAATTTAGATTTTACTAATAACATAAACTTAATACTTTGTCACTTTTAACAAACTAATAAGTTTCTAAGACCTGTTTGTTATTTGTATTTGTTTTAGGTAAAATCTACAAACTTAATAATAGATTTTCACAACTTAGAATAGGTGTAAATTAATAAACTCTTATATTAATTAACCTAAACTCGTCAGTTTTATTTGCGAATTTTACCACAAAAATTAAAAAGAGAAAAACATACGTACTGCGTTAATTAATATTTGGCTAACCTTCCTGATAATTGATAATATCCACATTTTCTTAAACATTAGTCTAGTAATGCTTGTAAATAAAAACTTCATTTTGTTCTTACCATAATGATGCGACTTCAACCATGTTTTATTTCACTCGAGTGAATCGAGTGAATTTGTCCAACTCGATAATCGATAGAAAATAAATTTTACCAAGTTACCGAGTTAACTCGGCGCATCGTATAGATTCAGAGAGCGCTATATAGATATTACTTCACTAATTTACATGTATATATAATAAGTCGCTGCGGGTGACATCACAAGTTGCATCCAAATTCAAACTTGCATCTGGCATGTTGTAAACAAACCGGAACTTAGTTTGATTTATGATATTGATTTATAATTTTAACTTCATGATGCCACATATAACTTATTTATAAAGGTACATATTTAAAGATGGTTTAACTAAAGTAATCGCTACTCTCAACTCTAGTGATAAACTTTTCTGTAAATAGTCGATTTACTCAAAAACTAGTGTACAACTAGAATGACATACATACATAAATGAACCCGAGTGGCTCGAGTCACAAAACTCGAATCGCATCTTTATTTTAAGGCCAATGCAGTGTTTGTCTACAATTTAGTGATGAAATTGATTTACTAATTCGAGCAATTTATTGATATATTATGTAATAAATAAATTGTATTAGGTAACATGTTTATAATGTTGTATCAATTTATGTTATATATAATATGAATTGATTATACAGGGTTACAAGAAAAAAATCGTGGTAGATCCGTCAAGGGCGTGGAGTAGCCATCATTTCTGACCTATTTCACTATGAAACACCCTACCCTAAACTTAACCCTTTTCGAGATATTCGACTTTTAATTTTTTTATTGAAAATTGTCGATTTTTAGGCTACTACATTTATTTTTGTTTATTTTTTGTATCTTATTATTATTATTATTGCATTTTTACATGTGTAATAAGATGCTTTAGGACGTTAATCATTAAAATAGTGCATAAGTTAATTCAATAGACCGTAGTAGACAAGTGAAAGTAAAGAAAAATTTTTTATTAGAAACTTTATTTTTCTCTAAAACGGCCATTACATTATCCATTTTTGCAGAGCGCTAGATTTAGTGCAGCAGTGAACTATAAAAAGAGCTCGCTCATTACACTAGACTAGCTAGTAAAGCTAGTTAGTTTAACTTTCTTTCATTTCAGTAGTGATCGTCGTCCAAACCGCATCTTTCGAAGAGCGCTAAACGAATATGGCACCATCAAAACACCAGAAAGTTGGCATTGCTTTAGCAATGGTGTCGAGTTTAATGATAATTAATAAAAAAGACGCAGAAAATATTGGGTCAAAGAATATTTATTGTTGAGACAAAAACTGTCAAATATGAACATTGTGAACATATTGGAGCCATCTGATTTTAGAAATTTTTTAAGATTGGGATCTTCACAGTTTGAAGAACTACTGACATTGATAACACCATATATAAAAAAGGAAGATACACTTCTTAGAGAAAGTATCAGCCCAAGAGAACGATTAATCGTTACATTACGTTTTCTAGCCACAGGAAATGCTTATGAATATTTAAAGTTTAGCTCCTTAATCTCAGCATGTCTTCTTACTAAATCATTCCGGAAACATTTAAGGCTATTTATTAATTTCTAAAGCACTATATAAGCGTTAGTAAATAATACTAATTTTTTACAAAGAAAGTTATTTATTTAACTAGAATATTTAATCGAATGAAAGATATCTTTGCTTTACATAATTTACTTTTTTGGTTTAAAAATCAAATAATCCTTCATGGCGTTTCCATTACCCTTGCATACTGTTGTATTCGGAAAATTAATATTGTCTAAACTAAACAATTCATAAGATGTGTTTGGTGTTGTTTCAAGCATTGATGTTGTTTGAGCTTTTGATCGAGAAAGTTCTAATTGTACCTGTGTTGATTGTGATGGAGAAAATTATTCAATCGGATCATTTTCAGTAGGGTGTGGCTGTTCAATAATTATTCCTTGTGGCATTGTTGGTGGGGATGAAAGAGGAGGTTGAGTATGGTAGGACGCTGATGGATGAGATGGCCGAAAAATTACTTGCTGTGGCGAGGACTCTTGAGGTAGTGATTTAGGGGAAAAAATATGGTGGTTGAGTGTAGTGGGATGGATGAGGCGACTCAATAAGTAGTCCTTTTAGAGATGGGGATGGTAACGACGGTATGGCACAAGATGACTGAGAATCAGAATTAATATAATATTTAGGGGATGATGATGCACCAGATAGTACTGATTGAGTATCCAGTCTACGGGCTGGATAGCGAAATGGAGTTTGATATATTTGTGTGGTTCTACGCTTTCCAACTGTTGACTCGTACGTGTGCTGTGATTGATTACGTTCGAGCCCAGTGACAGATGAATGTTCAGTTAACATTCCCATTTGGGCGTAATAGAGGGTGTCATGTATTATTTTCTGAGCTCTATAAAACTGTCTTTTATTTAGATCCTTCAGTTGCAAGTCTATGCCCTTTCCTATAATTTCCCATTCCTCTTCTTTTTTATGCAGAAGTTTCCCAGCTGTATTTATGAGTGACTCATGCTTTTGCAGTAAGCTAGCTTTCGTAACTCTCTTTTTCTTTTGTGGAGACGCTGACTCAGATCTTCGTACACTTTCGGTTTCAGATAATGAAGTCGAAATTTCCTGTAACAAAATCATTAAGTATAGTAACAGATTTGTTTTATTTTCAGATGCCTGAAACAGAAGCTGAGTGGGAAAATACCGCAAGATCCTTTAAAAATAAGTGGGACTTTGATAATTGTGTCGGTGCTTTTGATGGAAAACATGTTGCTATTGAGAAACCCCCAAGAACTGAATCTTTGTATTATAATTATAAAGGATTTTTCAGTGTGGTGCTGTTTGTTGTAATAAACGCTAATTACGAATTTATGTACGTATATACGGGAACTAACGGCTCTGTGGCTGATGCAGCGATTTTATAATCATCAAAATTTTACGAAAGGCTTCAAAATGGTAGTTTGAATTTGCCTTCAGCTTGCACATTACCGAACACACAAGTTACTGTACCATACGTATTTTTGGGTGACAGTGCTTTTGGTATCGAAAGAAACGTAATGAAACCATTTACTTTCAAAAGCATAACATATGAAAAAAGAATATTCAACTACCGCCTATCTAGGGCTAGAAGAGTAGTGGAAAATGCATTCGGTATATTAGCCGCCCGCTTCCGAGTTTTACGAAGAAATCTGAGTGTTAAAATAGATAGAGTGGATTATATTATACTAGCATGTTGTGTTTTGCACAATTTTTACTAAGAAAAGCACCACGATATATTACTACAAATTCTGTTGATCGAGAAAATACAAAAACATATATATTCCATCAAGGAGATTGGCGCCAACTGATACCCGATGGCCTGGTATTATCAAAGCGTGTGAATGAAACCCAGCTTAATGCTGAAGGAGTTGCAGTTCGAAACAAGTTTGTGGACTACTTTAATTTAGAAGAAGGTAGTATTTCTTTCCAGGACAAAATGATGAATTTCGTACCAACAAAATAATAAATTTTTGATTATTAAATAAACATATTATTAACATACCTGTGTTTCCATTGTGTCTCGGCCTATACGACAAGTCTCACTAACCGCCCCAAGAAAACTCAAAGCATCAAAGTACCAAAGTGTAGGTACATACACCTCGTCAGCTCCAGCTCCAGTGCGACTCGATTCTTTTACCTAAAACATAAATATATAAACCGTTCCATATTAAATAATAAACACTAAATATATAGAATAAAATCGCAAAAAACCGAATCTGTCTATTCTACTGCCAACGTTTATTACAATTTATTCCAGAAGAAAGTAAATACGGGATAATCAAAAATCTGTCACAAATGCATAATCCACGTGGACGAAGTCACGGGCTAAAGGCTAGTAATAAATAAAAAGCGATTTTTTTAAACCCTATAAAGTTATTGCGATTGTGACAATCGCGAAATCATAAGACAAAAATGTTTAGTTCGTATAATAATGAATTGGTTGGTTTATATGGTATAATTTAATTAAATTTTGAATTTTTTTTACTAAATTTTTCACTGTCACGTTGCTATCGAATCCTTTGTAAACTTCAAGAAGCACCTTGTTTCCATCATTTCTTATATCTTTCTTTTTATAGTCCTTATGTTTTTTATCCCAAGGATATGGCATGTTTTTGTATAATAATATTATATTCAAGAGCACTTCCCTTTCTTTAGTCGATGGTTGCGTCATTTTGATCTTATAAACATACGTCCTATCCGAGCGCAAGCCGACTGACTGACTGACTGGCCGAGCTAGTGTTTAGCACACTAGAACACCTTACACCATGCAATTTAGTGCGCTAGCTAGTGTACGAAATGAGCTAGCGCGGCAGAGTCCATACGATCGCACTAGATTGGATCACTAACTGTCTAACTGCCTTTACACAATACAAATTTAGCACGCTAACTCACTTAGCGCTCTGCAAATTGGATAATGTAATGGCCGTCTAAGGGATATCTAAAAATAATATTATGGCAATTGTTCGGCAAATGTTTTTTTTTAAATATCTACGTTTCATGAGCTATCTAACGAGGTATAACAATCTAAGGTTTGTATTACATTTCGTGGAAAAAAGTAGTTGGGACACTCCAGGTAGCAGTTCTACCGGTCCCGCGCCTATTATCCTTCAAGTTAAGACGCACCAAGAGAGCGAGACAAGTGACGATTTATGTAGGTGCGAATGCGGTCAGTCTGCTTTTGTGCTTCGTACATAGTAGATGCGATATCGTTTTGCTCTTTTTCTCGGCTTGGCTGTGATTCTGGACTATTTCGTCTGATTTGTGACTACTGTGCTTGTTAACCGGACTCCGATTTCTACCTGTGATACGGAAGTGTTGAAGATGACGTCCTACACACCTGAGGAACATTACGGATACTGCGATTGAGTGTCTGCGCAAGCTCGCAACGAATACATAACTCGCTACCCCGGTCGTCGAGTGCCGGATGTGGCCGTTTTTGACAGAGTTTATCGAAGACTTCGAGAAACTGGTTCTGTTTTGAGACGAAATACAGACATGGGAAGACCACAAATTGACGACGAAGAACAGGACAATGAGATAGTTCAACGCTTTCGAGCGGATCCGACTACTCCCACTAATATTGTTGCCCGTAATCTGGGACTTTCGCAATGGAGAGTGTGGTTTACAGTGCATACTGCTGGCGTATACCCGTACCATTACACGCCGGTACACGTTATTGAAGAAGGAGACCCCGCGATAAGATTGGACTTTTGCAGATTTATGCTAAATGCTGACGTAGAATACCCAGATTTTCTAAGAAATATCTTGTGGACGGATGAGACCAAATTTGATGAAGATGGCATAACTAACTATCACAACGCCCATTACTGGGCCCCAAAAGAACTAAGGAATCCCAATAAGAAAAGAGTGAAGGGGTCCCAACGAAGATTCAGCGTGTATGTGTGGATGGGCATTATCTCCAATCATTTGATTGGACCTTACTTTCTCCCGGATAATCTAAATGGGGAAAGCTACGAAAATTTCCTGAGAGCAGACTTAGCGATTTGCTGGATGATCTGCCACTCAACCTGATCAGGGACATGTGGTTCCAACACATTGGCTGCCCTACCCATTTCAGGAGATGTGTCAGGGACTGGCTGGACACAAATTATCCTAACAAATGGATAGGACGAGGTGGGCCGTACCATGGCCAGCAAGAACTCCGGACCTAACCCCCATGGATTTTCATGTGTGGGGGTGCATGAAAAGTCTTGTGTACAGCGAGCCAAGCGAATCCAGTTTCGTCTGTGGAAGACTTAATAGAAAGGATTGTGGATGCAGCAAATAAAATGAGTACCACGTTGACCACTGGAGTAGTGAAGACTGGTCTCCGTAGAAGGATGCGACAATGTATCAGAAATAGAGGCGGCCATGTTGTACATGAACTGTAGAATAAGAAAAAGTTGTGTGAAAACCTTTAATAAATGACATTTCATGCTTAACTATTGTTTTATTTTACTTTCTTGGGCTAAGTATAAATTTTCTTCTCCACTGTCACCTATGAAACTAAAGTTTTTTCAATGCATTTGAATGAAACCTTAGAATATTATACCTCGTTAGATAGCTGATGAAACGTAGATATTTAAAAAAAGCATCTGCCGAACAGTTGCCATAATATTTTTTTAGATATTCCTTAGAGAAAATAAACTTTCTAATGTTTTTTTATTTCTTTAATTTCACATGTCTACTACGGTCTATTTAATTAACTTACGCAATATTTTAATGATTGACGTCCTAAATCATCTTATTACACATGTAAAAATGCAATAATAATAATAAGATACACAAAATAAAGAAAAATAAATATAGTAGCCTAAAAATCGGCAATTTTCAATAAAAAAAAATATAAAGTCGAATATCTCGAAAAAGGTTAAGTTCTCTCCCTTTAGAAACGCAATCGATTCTCCTCTATTGCCACAAACTCGCTGGTGGCTCGGTCAAATGGTGTTTGTCGCAGTCTTCGCTGTCTGAGACGGCGACGACGAGGTGTAGAAGGGCCGCAGATACCGGCGACCTTTCTGTGAACACAGATGAAAGCTATAATATACTAAAGAAAACTAACAAAATATGGTGGTGGTTCTATCTATGGTGGCAGTGAAGTTATTTAATAATGTTGATAGTTTCGATAACTCATAATAATGAATATTCAATAATTTAATAGTAGGTATCCTAATACTTATACAAAATTAATTTTGTAACAATTACCTCCTTGTATAGTTCTACTATTTGAAGGTCCTCCTAGCACAGGACTGACAGGATGTGCTGGTGGAGATGTTACATTTGCTGGCACTGTTATGGGTGTATCTTCTGCAGCTGATGGTAATGCCAAGAGCTCAATTTCTGCTGGTGATGGTATCCTATCTTCTGTATCAGCTGTATAGCTCACATGGGGTTGAGATGGTTCCTAAGTTCAACAATATAACCAGTTGTTGACTAGAAATATGCAAGTTTTTATGAAACCAGCTAAACAAGAAAAAAACATTAATATATGAAGGGTTCACTTACTTGAAAGCCTGCTTCTTGTATGGCTTGACTTCCAATAATTGCGTTGACCCCAGTTACACGTAACAACCTTTCCTCAAGTCGACTTAATGGTTTTCCCCTTCCAGGAACACACCACCAGCGCTACGAATGTCCCGATTTATAAGGGAGGCTTTCTTTTTTGCTTCAGTTTTCCAGTCAGACCATACCTGTAGCACAAAATATAAAATAATACATTGAAATAAGTGGTCTTCATAAGTACCTATGCAACAGCAGTACATACTTTGCTTAATAATTAATATCTTATTTCCACTTCCACCCACTGAGTTTAAAATTTCAGCTAACTTTTGCCACAGTTGTTCACTCCTTACCCTTCCTTGAAGTCCAACTTGTGACCTTGAAAGATCACCATGGCTAAAAATAATATTCATAAGGTTAGTGTACAGTGAGAATAAGAGCCAGTAAACAAAGTTTGCTATTAACATTCTAATACGCTGTCTAAGAAACAAGTATTAAGGTTTGGAATGGAGTTTATCTTTATAAGAATAACAAAATGTAAGAACCACAATCATAAGTGCACCATTGTGAGGTTGTTTACATTATGCATTCCATATTCTCAAGTAGGTCAAATACTAGTTAAAACGGAGAATAAAAATTGGAATAAATGAAAAATTTCGGAAAAAATCTACCTTTCCATAAATTCTATTAGGAAACTAAATTGTTCAGGACTCGCACGAAGTCTAGATCACAGTTCTTACAATATCTTCACTAACTTTATTGTAATAAAACACTTCAATAACTTTCAACACAGCACTTTTGAATAATATTCCAAGCGCGCGTTTACTTTTGACGCCGGCTCCACACGTTGGGCCCGATATAGGCCCCAACACTACTCGTCCAACGTGTGGATTAGAAAATGGCATTGGTCCCAACGTTGGGGCGAGCGTTGGTATTTTGCCGGCTCGTGTCGGTTTCATCAAAGGAATCTGCGCTAAAGCCGGCTCCACACGTTGGTACCAACGCTCGTACCAACGTTGGACTGCGAGTTCAGTGAGGCGTACACACGTTGGCTAATAAACTAGTTCTGTCAAGTCAGGGCCAATGTGAAGATGTCCGATACAGAAATCGAAACTGCTCTGAGCGCTTATATGGTACTGAGTGCACATTTTATATTTGTTACGGAGAAAAATTAAAAAGCCACGTCAAAGAAGATTATGGATGACGACACATCATAAAACACGGAATCAGTGAGTAAAGATCTAGTTATTCACTCTGTAAGCTTCTCACACATCACCGACAACACACTAAATTATATCAGCAGTTGTGAGCTGTAATATTAAAGTTCTTTCTGATTCTATATTTACATTTTCTTTCTTTTTTAGGTATGATGGAACCCTATTATTGAGTAATTTGATTCAAGAGCCATCAGGACAGTTTGATAACTTTTGTCGTATGTCTTCGATAGATTTCGAATACCTTCTACAGTTGATTGGAACAAGAATAAAAAAGCAAGATACAGTATTCAGAGACTCAATACCAACCAAAGTACGCCTTGCTGTGACACTTAGATTTTTAGCGACTGGAGATTCATTCAAAAGTCTTCATTACCTATTTAAGATTTCTCCTCGTCATATCATTGATCGTGCCGGAAGTATGTAAAGCACTATGTAAGGCATTGCAGTCTTTTGTAAAAGTAAGTAATTTTTATACATTTTGTAAAATAAAACCATAATAATAATAATCAAAAACACGTTTATTGAAAAAAATAATTAGAGAAAGTAATCGAGTCCTTGTATTAGCATTCAATTCTTAGTTTGTATCTGAGAAAGAGTATATGCCTGAGAGATAATATCATTTGATATAATTGTCACCTTTGGAGTAGATGTGGAGGAGATGGATGAACCTGTCACATATTCTGCTTGGCTATGATTTGGTGATACAACTGCATAATCACTATAATCATCGGCAACGTGATATGACGGGCTTGGCATCACTTAAGGCGAAGGGAATGTTGTAGGTGCATAACGCACGGAATCTCGGGTACGTCAACATTTGTGATGAAGGGGACGGTGTAGGTGTAAAACGCGCGGAATCCGGGGTAGACCTTACGTACGAGTAAGTGCTGCTACGAGCAGGGTCATTAATACTTATAAGCGACAGTAGCCTAATGGCAGGGCGCGGACCGCGAACTCAAAAAGGTCGTGGATTCAAATCCGCCATTCGACTACTGGCGTGAACCACTCGTAACACAAGCAATTTAAGCTTACCACGAGTGGTTAAGGGGAATATTAGTAATGTTTATAGTATTGTTAATATTTAAAAAAAAATATAACCTCCCTTTTGTTGCTCATTACATTTTTTAATTTTTTTGGCCAGTAGTTGACAGTATACCTAAGTAAGTAAGTAAGTCTACCTCGTTCACTTCAGTTCGTGGTCGGTCGGAGAGATTTTTTAGGACATTTACAGCTGTCTTAATCTGAGCTCGTACTTCTATGACTTCTGATTCTCGCCGTTTTCTGGCTGACGTGGAACTTTTATTTTGAATGCTGTCTTCATGACAAAAGCTCCTATTTTGATTGCTGTCTTCATTAGGAAACTCCATAGTCTAAAAATTCAAACACAACAAGTAAATTTCAACCCTTATTTAAATTATTAACTATTACCTACACAGATTTTTTTTCTTATTTAGATGCCAGAAAATAAACACGAATGACTTGAGATTGTTCGAGAATTTGAAATAAAATGGCAATTTCCACATTGTTTGGGCGCTATCGATGGGAAACACATTAAAATACAGTCACCCATTAATAGTGGATCAGAGTTCTATAACTATAAACACAATTTCAGTATAATATTACTAGCGGTAGCTGATAGTGACTACAACTTTTTATTTACTGACGTAGGAACACATGGACGTATGAGTGACGGTGGAGTTTTTAATGATAGCATGCTTTATAACAAAATATGGACCTGATTCCTTTTTTCCGCAAGACGCTCCTTTACCTGATCGACATCTTCCTGTGCCCTATGTTTGACATCGGGCATTAATGACATCGGTATTTGGAGTGTTAAAAACCAATATATTACTACAACCTGAAAAAGCATCTATTATAACACTCACTTGCGTTGTAGTTCATAATTTTTTGAAAAAGAGTCAGCACTCCTACCGTATGTATATGCCGGAAAGTAATATAGATAATGTTTTAGAAGAGCAACAGTTAAGATCACTAGATCAAATACCAATTAAAACAACAGAAAATGCTAGAGAAATACGAAATGAATATGCATCATTCTTTATTCACACTAAATAAAAAATCTACAGACCTACAAAATTATTATGTAGATTTAGGTACACAGAGTCACAGGTCAGATGTATGTATGTAACAGTTGCACTACGAAAACATCTTTTAAGACGTAGGGCATAAAGGCGCGCTCAAGATCATCATGTTACATGCCTGTGGTTCAGTATACCTACCTACCCAGGTGATTTTTTCGAAATAAACAATTAAATGCTTTAGATTAAGTATGTGATGTGATTAAGTATGTAATTTGTCACAGTTTGTGATTTTATCTATGTAAATAAGTAAAGTAAAAATTAATCAATGTTTATCTTACCTCTGTGTTAATAGTAACTGTATCTGATTTATCATAAATCGGAGCAAGAAACCTATCCACGAGCTCATAAGCGAACCAATTTGGTTTAAAAATATCATCTATTGATGATCCAGATCGAGTAGAATCACTAATTTTCTTTCTGCGATACTGCGATTGAGTGTCTGCGCAAGCTCGCAACGAATACATAACTCGCTACCCCGGTCGTCGAGTGCCGGATGTGGCCGTTTTTGACAGAGTTTATCGAAGACTTCGAGAAACTGGCTCTGTTTTGAGACGAAATACAGACATGGGAAGACCACAAATTGACGACGAAGAACAGGACAATGAGATAGTGCAACGCTTTCGAGCGGATCCGACTACTCCCACTAATATTGTTGCCCGTAATCTGGGACTTTCGCAATGGAGAGTGTGGTTTACAGTGCATACTGCTGGCGTATACCCGTACCATTACACGCCGGTACACGTTATTGAATGATAAATGATTGATGATCCAGATCGAGTAGAGTCACTAATTTTCTTTCTGTAAAGGCGATATATGCTCACTAATGATTCTCGCTTTTTTTTTAGATCTTCAATTGAGAAATTCATTCCCATATTGTGTTGAATGGTGCACCATGCATCAGCTAATAAATTTTTATTCTTATGATCCTTTCGAGTTGCTGAGACGCTAGCGATCTGTCCACACGTTGGCGCTTTGCTCAGTTCTGTTGCAACACACAGCGAGTGCGTACTGTTATGAACTGATGTACAAGGTAGTAATTGTTTTTTTGTAAGCATTATGTAAAGTATATAAAAGTGATTTTTCATATAATTTAAGCAGTCAAACTCTAACCTCTGTTCGGTACACAACTTTGTTATATTTTATAATATTCCGAAGTGTAAATTAAATTAAATTAGTTTTGCAGCAGTAAAGGTGTCTTTTTTTTTAAAAAGGACCCCAGGCGAGCCATCCTAACAATTTTGGTGTCAGAAGTGGGATATCCTGGGAAAGCAATTAAAGTATTGGGATTCCTAGGTGTTAGGCGCGTCGCGACAAAGAATTCCCGCCCTAATACTTATTTGGCTCCGTGAACCTTAGCGTTCATCACCACGGTCCTTGGGTAAGGTGCCAGCTGTCGACGGTAAGTCTTGGGTACATGTGCCTAAGCCCGCACAGTTGCACTTGTGGTCGACGATAAGATAAAAGGCACACATCATTCAGAAACTCTGTATTTGGTCTCCACTTTCGAGTGTGAGCCTGTATCACAACCCATTGCACTATCGGATCCCCGGACAGTTTGACTCGCCACCAACATCATACCTTGCATCATCACCACCACCACGTGTAAGGTTTCTTCACGGACAACGCAACGTGACTTCGAGGTAGCGTAATTTAAGACTTCCTGAGTCGTCGAATAGGTACTCAAGCCACCGCTGCAATTGACGTCATCGCTGCAGTGTCGAATTAACTGACACGCTTTGGAAAACCAAGATGTTCGTGAGAATCTACATTTTGTGAGTAATTTTTATATAATATAAAATTAAAGTTTCTAAAGTTATTAATCAAAGTGAAACAAGTGAAAGTGATTTAATCTAAAAAAAGTAATCAGTTATAAGAGATTTATCTTAACATTAAGTCATTGTATTTTAATACCTATTTGTTTAACATATTTTGTAGTGTTCTGATGATCTGTACTGTATTTTAAAAATATTACCTATTAATTAATGTTATCTAAAACGGTAAAAGCAGAAGAAGTTAAAATTTTGAACTCTGACTCCTCAGATATTTCACTATCGCTATCAAATCCAACACGAAAAAATATTAAATTAAAAATGTCCGAAAAAATCACCCTTTCAGTCCTTATCAAATTCGTTAAGCCCTACAATGGGGATCGCGAGTCTTTGCCAGCATTTCTTACGAAATGCGAAAATGCAATTTCATTGGCAAGTACTGACCAACAGAATGTTTTGTTTAAATATATTGTGTCCCAACTTGAAGGAAAAGCACAATTAGCTTGTTGCTTAAAGAAATTTAGTAGTTGGCCCGAATTAAAACAATTTCTTAAATCGACATTCGGAGAGAAAAAACATTTAACACATTTACTTGTAGACCTACAAAACTGTAAGCAGTTGCCTTCTGAAGATGTGACACAGTATTCATTAAGGATTGAATCATGCCTTACGCGGATCCAATCCGACATTCACTACAGCTGTGAGGATGAAAAAGAACTTTTAGGTAGACTTGCAGCAATGGAAGATTTAGCTTTAAATACTTTCTTATTGGGCATGAATTCTAGTTATTCGCATATTGTACGCTGTATGAACCCTCGAACTTTACCTGAGGCGATTACGCATGCTATCGAGGAAGAAAAGTTATTTAAATTAAGTAAATTATCGCTGCGCTCATCTAAATCGTGCTCAATTTGCCACAAACTCGGACACACTTCTTCCGAGCGCTACAAAAATAAATCAAAGGTTTCCTATCCTAACCTCCATCATCTTAACTCTAACTCTAATTCATTGCGTAATAAAAATTCAAATAATCCAAGTAATTATTATTATAAACCTCATTCTAATTTTAATCCGAATAAAATGTGTGCCTATTGCAAAAAGAAAGGCCATTTAATAAACGAGTGTCGCAAGCTCAAGTTTAAAACCAATAATATGCGCCCCGATGAGTGTACTGCACTATCAAGTACACGAGTACCGAGCACTAGTAATGTGCCGGACAATAATCACTCTAATGTACATGTTGTTTGCGCCTCTGAAAATAACAATGATAATTTAAACTAAACAGGGTTTCGGTGCCGTGTCTGCCGGAACGTATCATTAATTTAAATGACACGAAAACTATTCATCTCTCTAAATCCTGTGTTCCTAAATTATCTTATAAAACACGGATGCCAAAAATATTAATGAACATTTTTTAAATTCTACATTCAACGAGTCTTCAATGGAGTCTCAAGGTCGCACCTGTGGTCAATTCTCGGTTGTACAGGATTCTAATTTTAATGCACCTTCATCAGAATTAACATGCTCCACTTCAAATAAAAGACTCGATTCCTGTGTTCCTAAGTTATTTTTAACACAGAGTAATAAAAAATCAGAGACTCAAAGGAATAAAAATGATGTCTCAATTTCTAATAACTTTTGTAATAAAAAATTTAATGGTTGCCAACGTGACATCATAAATTGTGAAAAATCTACGTCACTCTCTAGGGTTGGCACACGCAAGAAAACGTATACAATAAATAATATTAATAATAATATTTCTCTCCCTCATGTTATGTTAAAGACTAATAGAATTAATTCAAATGCGGATTCTTTATCTCGTAATCCAGTAAACGCTATCACGCATTCTAAATTAAATAAGACTACATATGAACAATTTTTAAGAAACAATTTACAAAAACAATTTCTAATGATACACAAATTGAAGAGCACAATCAAAGTTTATATACTGCAAAACATAAAATAATTGCTTGTCCAGTCTCTCTGGACTTTGATTGCTCTATGCCGAACTGTGAACAGCTATTGTCAATGATAAATAATACTGCCGAGTTGTTATCAGCGGAACGCGAACCTGAAACCGTACACTCGGTCGACTCTAACAATAAAACATTTTACTTTCTTTACACTAAAGTTCATCATTATGACGAGACAAGTTATAAGACAATTTATAATTTATTACGTAAGTTTAGGGACTTAATTATTTCTAAAGATAATTACGATACTGAGATAGCATTATCTGACTTTTCGGAATCATTTACAAAGTTAGTATACTTAAAAATTTACAATATAATATCTTATATTTTCCATGGAACAAATATTAAGGTTCACATATACAAGAATCGAATACAATACCCTTCTCCAGCCGAGATTCCAACCATTTTAAAAGAAAACCACGGGACTACCGTAGCTGGTCACCCAGGTATAAAACGCATGTATAGTAGAATTAAATCTTTGTTTTACTGGAAAAATATGCGTGCAGACATAGAACGCTTCGTTAAAGATTGTACTCTATGTCAAATTAATAAGCCGTTGCGCGCTTGTAATAAGGCACCCATGGTCATAACGTCCTCAAGCACCAAGCCGTTTGAAAGATTAGCGCTAGATATTGTCGGTGTCCTACCTGAAGCGGGTCCTCAAAAATTTAAATACATACTAACGCTCCAGGATGACTCAACTAAATTTTCTTGCGCCTATCCAATGATTACTTCGACAACTGATGAAGTCGCGCGCAATCTCATTCACTTTATTTCATTATTTGGGTTTCCTAAAATGATTCTAACTGATCAAGGTTCATGTTTTACTTCAGAGTTATTTAAGCAATTGACTAGCATTCTTAAAATAAAAAATATATTCTCGAGTCCATACCATCCCCAAACAAATGGCGCATTGGAACGTAGTCACGCCACCCTTAAAGAATATTTAAAATCATTTGTAAATGAGAACCAGGA